ACTCTGTCCCTGCAGTGGGACAGCTGTGAAAAAGGTGAGCGCTCAGGGTGGGGGAATTCTGTTTTTCCTTGTTCATTGGAAGGTCAGTTTCCAGCCATGTGAGAGGTATTTTGGGCACTTGCACACAGCTATGATCTTATTTCATATGCAGTGTGGATGTGCATATGCCCCCACAGCTACTGCACATGTTCAGTAGGCTACATGCTGGCTAGACAGCTAGGTATGCGCATACCTGAGTGAGGTCCTCCCATATTTTAGCCCTGGTAGCAGAGTGATTAAGGCACTGAGGGAGTCTGTAGACATGTGGGGATACTGCTCTGACGCTGTAATTACAGCACATTGGAACAGGCTCGATTCATCAAGTCTGCTGGAGTGTGCTAATTAGGGCCTCCATGTTTTGTGTATTCAGCATCCCTGCCCAGCTACCATCCTATGACTCACATTCACTGGGCATGTGCACATAGCTGTGTACCTGCCTCGCTTGTGCACACCTGACAGAGCATGCGCAGGAGCTGTGTGGGTGCTTATGCATCTAAACTGCACAGGTGATAATGGGGATGAGAATTGCAAACTGGGCACCGGTGTCAAGAAGGGCATTGAAATAACTGGAAACCTGCCACTGAAGTGCACTAAGGCTGACCCTGGTGTCTCACTCGAAACATGGCTCCTAGGGGGCGGCAGAGGAGACCCTCACCTCTGCCCAAGACGTGCTGCTGTCCTTGGTTGTACTGTCTGCTGTGGTGCTGGCACAGGTAGATGGCCAGGACCATCAGCACGATCCAGAGCACGGAGCCCATACCAGCGATGAAGGCAGGTTGTCGGACTACACCCAAGATGTGGATGAAGGAGAGCACCTCTGGGGCTTTTGTCATCTTTCCTAGCAGGGGCTCTGGAAGGAAGAGGTGAAGAAGATCAGGCTAGAGCTGGAGGGCATCAGAGTGGGTGAAAGGCTGCAGTACAGGACTAGCTGATGCCACAGCCTGCATATATGGGTTCATCTAGCACAAGAACTGCAGGGCAGTGAGAAGGTGCAGTGCCAAGTCTTGAAGGAGCTGCCCTGGCTCCCCATCTGCCACTCACTGGATGCCTCGGTGCTTGTGTATAGGTACCCACTGTGTTTGTAAAGATGGCCCTCTGGACATGCATCTCAGACAAGGAACTAAGGCTGAGCAGCCTGAGCTCAGAAGGTCCCTGAGGGCAGAGAAAAGCGCTGGAGACAGGCGCTTGCACAGCTAGACATTGAAAGGACTCCAGTGTCTAGGGCTGTCAGACTAGCAGTGTTCCCCAGGGCTCTGTTCACTGAAAAAGAGTTTATAGGGGAAGGAGGTTGATGTAATCAATAGGGCAGCAAGGATGCTACTGGTAACTGAGGTTTTCAAGGGGGAACTGTCTCTCTCTCTCTCCCCCATGCCCATCTCTATGATATCTGCTTGTCTTTTGTTTGACAAAAAAATTTAAGGGCAAAATAGGGCATCTAACCTATGATGCTGCAGGTGGAGTTGCTGGGCACCCCGATCCCTGCTCCATTGAAAGCTGCCACCTTGATGCAGTACTTAATCCCTGTAGCCAGGACAGCTGTCTCCAGACGGTGTGTACCTCCATCCACTGTACTGTTAGAGTGATGGTGAGTTTCATTCCCCAAATACCAGACCTGTAACACACCCAAACACGCTGATAGCACGGCAGAGACACCCCCGGCCCCAGAGATAGCATACTTGTGACACACCCCATCAGGGAGCTGACTGGACTCAAGCTCTGGCCAGACAACTGTGGATGCAGGCCCTTTGTCAGCCTTGTCAGGTCCATGTGCAGGGCAAGGTGTTGCAAGTTGAGAGCACAGCCATGTTTTAGATGCTCCTAACTGGCAAATGCTCTTTAGGGATGCTCTCACCAGGCTGTTTAGAGTAACCCTGGAATCATCCCTGCAACACACTCTGACTCCACACAGCTCTCCTAGCCTGGCTGCTGTCAGAGCTGTGGCCAAGTCCTGCCTAGCTGCTTCAGCTCTTTAACTTCCCTTCAGCTTACAGCCTTCCTCCCACCCTCTCTCAGCCCCTGAAGTATGACAAATGTCATACTGGGCCTAAGCCCTTACCTTGTAGCCCTTAATGATGCCATTGTGTGCGTCATGAGGAGGAGGGTCCCAGCTGATGACGACTGTGCCATTCTCATCATTGCCTCTTGTGATGGTTACATGCTGCGGAGCTGCACTTGGCACTAAAGAAACAGAGCTACTGAACCCCCCCAAAGCAGCAAGAGCATCAGCTGCCCTGTAAATGTAGGAACCTAAGCCAGGATGGAGCACCCTGAGCACTGCAGTGAGACCTAGGGGCTTCAGGGCAAAAGCTACTGAAACTTCTACTGCTGTCTCTTAGATCTCCCACAGACACTGACCTGCCTACTTGCCTTCAGGTAGCAAGACCCTGCAAACAGGGCTCATGGCTCTCTCCAGAGAAGCAAGACAGACCTAGGCAGGGGAGGATAGAAGTAAGCACCAGGGCATCTGGACCCTGGCACCCCGGAGAGCTGTAAGATAAGGTATGATGAACACACTCACCCAGGGATTAGGCAGTTCCCAGGAGCCCCTCCCCAGAACTGAGTGCATGGCAGAGGCTGTGAGGGGCCTACTGTAGGTACTGCATGGTTAGAGCTTGCCTGAGTTATTCAGGCACTAGTGTGAGTAGGGGCCAGTGCAGTGGAACCTCTTTGGGCCTGCTGGAAAGGCCATTCTCCAGTACCACTAGGCTCCACTTGCACAGGGAAGGGACAGAGGCTGCACGGGCAGCTCCCTCTGCACAGCTGCTGTGTATATTCTGTTGGGGGCATCTCCCCTGTCAATAAGCTCCCTCTGGGGCTGCATAGCTTTTCAGGGACGAACAGTGCGGAGGGTGGTCAAAAAGCTTGTGAGCAGCCTTTCCCTAAGCCAGCAAGGATTTGTTTGTTCTGCCAAGCAAATACCTCCTAGCCTCCCAGCCAGGTGTCTAGGATGGTGATGTACAAGGTATAGGCCAGCGTTGCCTCCCCTCCCAAAGGGGGCTGAGTTAGGGCCTACAGCTGGAGGAGCTGGGGGCCTGTACCTTCCTCTGGGATACAGAGCTGCTTGCTGTTGCTGTCCAAGCCGTGGACCTTTCCAGTGTAGGGCCGAACCTTAAACTCATACTTGTAGCCTCTCCGCAGTGCTGGGATGATGATGCTGTGTTCTTTGGGTACCTTCAATTCAGCCCAGTTCATCTTTACTGGATGCAGAGAGCGGTAAAGCACAGTGAAACCCTCAGGGTGCTGGGATGAGCTGATCACCTGAAAGGTAACGACCAGCCAGTGGACACAGAGGACAAGGGAAGAGGGATCCACCTGGCCAGTTTCTGGGGACAGATGCAGAACTGTGCAAGTTATTCAGGACACTTCCTGCACTGTGCTACCGATGCAACCAGGGAATTTACTGACATTTATAATGGTATCAGCTCCCAGACCCCACCTCAGAAAACACCATGGGCACAGAGTCTGCATCTTCATCCTCATGGCAGAGCCATACAGACCCTGCAGGTGGGAGTGAGGGGAAGGCTTTGAACCAATGTCGCTAGGAGAGACTCTCACCAGCTTGGCTAACACTATTCAAGCTGTGCCACTCCCTGCTTTCGGAGGAAGTGTTAATGTGCCCCATGTACAGTCAGGTGTCAAACAGAGTGCCCTAAGTCCCTGCTTCCAGCTCTCTGTTCCACTCTCTAGCTAGCAATGTGCTAAAAGGCAAGAATGCTGTTTGTGCCAGCTCCCTACCCGCCCACCCCTCCAACCCATACACACACCCACACACAAAGCTAACAGTTCTAAAGGCTTTGCTGAGTATTGTGGTGGCCATAATAGTTCAGGGAACATGTGAGGGAGTGAGTGGCATCATGTCCAAGGTTCCTTTGGGTAATATATTTTATTGGAACAACCATGCAGCTCGGCTGACCTGCAGTAGGACAGTCCATGCCCAAAAGCTTGGTGAACATGCCCCGCAACAATACCGTTGGTTTAATAAAAGGTATCACCCCAAACCCTTGCTTCTCTGTGCTGGCACTGACAGGAAATCCTGCCTCATTTCCAATCTCCACCTGCTCGAGCTGGATCTTTACAGGTGAACCAGTCTTACAAGGCCTACAGAGGTAATGTCAGAGAATGCTAAAGAACTGAGGAGCTCAGAGCAGGAGCAAGGTTTAGACTTTGCCAGGCTGAGCAGGGCACAGAATTCAGCCATTGCTCTGCTCAGAATGGCTGGAGGCAATCAACACTTTCCCTGTAACAGGTTACAAGTGCAGCCTCAGTCCCCCTTCCACTCCCAAAGGGCATAGTGCTGTTTGCTGTGATTTCCCATTGCCTGTCTGGGACCTGGGGCCCATGCTGGATTAGTTATATGTGCGGGGTTTTTCCTTTGCTTTTGAGCTCTGGGGCCATCCTGCTGCTGATGGGTTGGGGAAAACTGCTAGCTTCCCATTCTGGGCCTGCCCTTATGGCAGGGGGTGTC